AAGGGGGGGGGGGGGGGGCCCCACGAGGGAAACGGCCTGTGTCTGTAAAGAGGTTTTAATAAAGCTACATTAATGCAGCTATCCCAGAAGAGGGTGCTGTTTTATTATGCTAAAAGCATGTGTCGGTGCACCTGAGTGCCAGTGAGCGGGAATCCAACAGTCTGCTCCACTGGAAATCTCTTTTGGGTTCCACAAGAGGAGATCAGCTATTTCTCATCATGCGACGTTTCATGTGACTCTTTGTGTCCTTCTCCTTCTGCGTGGCGAATGTCAACGTTGATCCTCATTAGCATAAAAACTCAATGTCTGGGGAAAAGAAAGTATACAAAGCCTTTGATTCCTACCAGGTCTTTGGATGAAGTTAAACACGGCCCCAGATGAAGAACACATGATGCATTCAGCCACTTATTTACTGAACCGAGACAAAGCCAAAGTACAGAGCTGCTGTGTGAAAAATTAAGTGCGTCCAGTAGCTCGTGAAGCCGTCAACAGCAAAAATAACTTCAATAGTCTTTTTTATTGTTGATGCTATCTATCTGTGACAGTAATGTAGGGGGAGGTCTGTTTATTTAGAGCTTTCTTAAGGTTCCAAATCGCAGAAATTCCATGTTTTTGAGATGGTGGGAGGCAGCTCGAGTCCCTGGAGCGAAGCCAACCGTGCAGCCTCCACACACACACACACACACACACAAACACACACACACACACCTGGAAACATTCATTCATTTATTTATCATCTTTTTCCTTTTAGATGGAACAAGTGTTAGTTTTTGTAGATGATGTCATCCTACAGGCATGACCTGGACTGTCTATTGAAGTAGTTGTTGATCCAATAACTTTTAGCTGGTTCAGTTTCAATAGGGACATATTCAGATTAACATTTTATCTTATCATATGCCGGAGATTTTAGAATATTCAAAGCTTTGTTTTTTTCAGATGGGGTTAATTATTTCCCATTTCTCAATCCGAGACTCTGCCCACATCTTTTATTTTTAATCCAATCATCTCACTAACCTGGGGCAACTTAAACTGAGTAGCAACCATATGTCCCCCTAACTGTTTTTTTTGTTTTACTTCCTTTTCAGCTTTTTTCTCATCTAAACCTTCTCATCCCAGGTTCCTGCCTTTTTCCAGAACTTTTGCCCAACATGAACTTTTATTGCCTTTTATTTGCTTTTAACTTCTATTAACACTTTAAAAAGCCTTATTAGTAGTTAGAGATGTAAACTCTTGCTATAGTATCACTTCATCTGGTCAAACCTGGGATGCAGGACACGTGACACCGAGTTCAGAGAGTGATGCAGAAATGTGGAAGCCAGTGTTGCAGAGAATAGTCGATGTAGCACAGGAAAAGGATCATGTAAAAAAAAGAAAAGAAAGAAAGAAAGAAGAGCTACTAGAAACGTCTTAATAGCTTTGTTCCGTTCCAGTTTTGACTGGGACTGCGTGAACTGAACTCGTTTTTTTTTTTTTTGCTTAATCCCCATAGAGTTGCACACGGAGAAACGGAGGCAAATTACAAAAAAAAAGCTCATCTCTGCATCGAGTTAATGGATGGAAATCAAAACCTACTGAATTCAAAGCAAATCAGCTGACTTATCTGCATGGTTTTTGTGCGTCACGCGGAGGCTCAGGACGCACGCGAACATAAACGCGCTGCTCCCCAGAAGCGCACGTGCTCCCACAACTCAACCCCATCACCTTGAAATAAGAGGAAAACGTTTTCCCAGATTGACATGCATTAATCATAGGCTGGTTTAGTGGAGGGGTGTGTGTGTGTGTGTGCGTGTGCGTGTGTGTGAAACATGACTCCTCCACTGTAAGAGGTGTTTTAAAAGGAGGACAATCATTCGATACAAAAGCGGTGGCGTGAGCCGTGAAGACGTCACCAGTCCCCGCCTTAAATATTAAGAATCAATTGTTTGATTTTTTTTTTAACCTCTCCACTTAAATCAGAGTAGATGCTCGGAGGCTGCTATCTTCCAGGCACGCAGGGTGCGCAGTGGAACATCTGGAGAAGTCGGAGCGGAGCGTAAACTTGCCTCTGGTTCCATTCAGCCTTCGAGGTGCGCAGAGAGCCGGAGAGGTGCGCAGAATGGCTCGCGCCGCGCTCTGGATCGGCTGGACGCTGTGTTTGGCCGCGTCTCTGGCCGTGTGCGCGCAGGACTACACGGAGGAGGACGACGAAATGATCCTGGACCTGATCCGGGAGGACGGGACTCAGCCCGAGACCGGAGAGGAGCCGGCGGCAGAGTTCCTCAGGTGCAACAAGGTAACCTGACCCCCCACCCGGCACTGACCAATCCGAGGAGAAGCCATCTGGTGTTCCCATAATTACGAATCTAAATAAGTTAGTCATGCGTAAAATGGAAAACCCCAGATTTCCTATTTGTTCCCTTTAGCGGTTCTGTTTCCTACAGCATCCCCAAACTCTGCAGGCTATACTTTACTGTCTGTTTCCCTGTGCCGCACCACCAGGAGGCATGGCGCATCCCCGGCCAGTACCTGGTCATCCTGCAGCCGGGGACGCACGAGTCCCAGGTCCAGAGGACCACCCGGAGGCTGAGGGCCAAAGCGGCCCGGAGGGGCTACCTGGTGGACATCCTGCGGACCTACTCCGGAGCCCTGCAGGGATTCTTGGTCAAAATGAGCCGGGATGTCCTTCATCTGGTAAATGCACCACCTGACAGAAGCCTCACTCGTTTAAAACGTTTAACGGGTTAAAAAAAGAAAGAAAAAGACATTAGAAATAAAACAATATTCACTGTTGAAAAAGACATGAACATTCTTGTGCTATAGAATGAGTATGACACTATCTTACATAACTATGAATATGATCATCCAGAAAAAAAGCATATGTGGGAATAATCCCAACTAAAACTGAAAAGCAAAAATGAATGAACATAAAAAAAAAGTCTGACAGTCGGATTCAGCTGCAGTTTTTCTGCTCATTTTGCCTTCTGAGACAAAGAAGAAGAATAAAAGGCATTAGAGCAAAGCCAGGCGCTGAACAGCAGGAAAACTCTG